CTGTTGTTGGTGTTTCTGGAATAAGGCCCAGTGTACATGTACTTTGCTAGGCAACATAACATCAAGTATGCCGCCACCGGACGATTTTAGCATTGCCAGTGTATCAGTTGGAGGTGTTATGCATTGTTAGCAAGTGTGAATGATGTGACTAAATTAAGGAATAGACGTTTACATGTACCGACAGATTTTGAAGTTTATAATTACGATACAGATGAATGTGGAAACTAACTTGTTAACTTACATAACTGAAACACCCATTTGGCTGTGCAGTAATATAATGGGCCGTTTTCTCCATCCGACCTCCCGACATTACTCGCCGGTGTTTTTCCTTTGATGCTCGCGGTACAGTCGGTCACACAGCCATAGGTTGTTTTCTTTTTAGATGAAATTTCATGCTGTTTAATTTTAACTAGCTTCTTTGGCTTGAAATAGCTTAGAAAAATGTTTCTGTAAGCAAAAAGCCAAATTGTGCACCGCTAATAGCCCGTCGTGGAAGGCCTAAGGAAACAGCCTGATAGCAGCGGCCGTAACATATAGACCTCCCCCACAAAACAAACAAGCACATGCCAGTGCAACGTTTCCTGATTACAAGCTGCAGTATGTCTGTCTGTCTGCTCCCATAACGCCTGCTATTTGCTTTGATTTGCTATCATTTTCAATTCATGTATTTTGTCTCTTGAACTTATTTCCATTTATCTCACGCACATGCTTTAGCCAGCTTGGCTTCTCCAGCCGAATTTGGGGTCAAAACAGTGAAATTCAACACAATGCTGTTATCTGACGGATGCTCTCATGTCTGCGCTCTCTCCTGCTGTTTCCTGATTACAAGCTGCAGTATGTCTGTCTGTCTGCTCCCATAACGCCTGCTACAATCCCATGTATTTGCTTTGATTTGCTATCATTTTCAATTCATGTTTTTTGTCTCTTGAACTTATTTCCATTTATATCACACACATGCTTTAGCCAGCTTGGCTTCTCCAGCCGAATTTGGGGTCAAAACAGTGAAATTCAACATAATGCTGTTATCTGACGGATGCTCTCATGTCTGCGCTCTCTCCTGCAGCTGTACGGCTACTGCTACCAGGATAACAACAATATAAAGGACACGGTGACAGCCATCACGGAGCTGGGCAGCCCTCTGGAGATGATCCAGCTGCTGCAGACGCCCTGGGAGGAGAGATTTAGGGTGAGTCACTGCTCATATCACGCATTCCATCTAGTGCTTGTCTGGAGGAACACAGAGGCTTCAATTAGCCTTATCAGCATGAACAACTGCGAACAAATTGACTCACTGATTTTTCTAACATTACTGTAATAAAAGATTGAAAGGTTATTGTGAATGAAAGATTATTCATGATATTGTAAAATATTATATACAGTGGGGCCCAAAAGTCTGAAACCATATTACAAATCTTCCATATACAAATTTAGTTAAACCTAGAAATAAATAGAACGTTTTAAAATTTTGAAAAGAAGCAAACAATAACAATCATGTTAAAATTTCTATTAAACTTTTCAATGCAATGTATTAAAGTAAATACATGTTATTTTGAATTAACGATTATTCATGACATTGTAAAATATTGTATACAATAAGGCCCAAACGTCTGAAACCTAATGAATATCTGATTGATTGATTGAGTATTTATTTATTTAAACCTAGAAATAAAGAGAAAATGTAAGAAATTAAAAAATAATAAACAAAACCCCTTGATGTTAATTTTCCAATTTAAAATTTTTTCCCCATTTGTTCAATGAATTAAAAGTTAATATGAATTGTGAATTGACGTTATTCATGACAGTGTAAAATATTATATACAATGGACCCCAAAAGTCCATTGTACTGAAAATCTGAAAATCTTGATTGATTGATTGATTGATTGATTTAAACTCAGAAATAAGTAGAAAGTTTTAGAAGTTTTAATTTAGAATTTTGGAAAATAAATTAACTTTTTTTTTTCATTCAACTTAAAAAATTAATTAAAGGTTGTGAATTAAAGATTATTTATGACTTTGTAAAATATACAGTGGGGCCCCAAAGTCTGAATCCTGATTAATTGATTGATTGATTCAATTGATTGATTGATTGATTGATTGATTGATTGAGAAATATAAAGTTTTAGAATTTAGCAAAAAAAATCATGGTGATTTTTCAACTTTTCATGGACATTATGCTGATAATATAATTTGTGTGTGGGTGTGTAGGGTGTGTGGTGTTGTTACATTTGGACTCCACTTATTATATATTATTTCAGAAAGAGGAATAGATTGGGAAAGGCCCGAAGATACAGCTCATTAAGCCTGAATAAACAAACAGGGGAACCAAATTACATTCATTTCATAAAATTACTACCATTTCATAATGCACTTATATAAACATTTTTAATGACTTCAACCCAGTCAGCCAGCCGCTAACTGTTTTCTGTGAAGCCATGGGACAGCGGTTTCTCATACCCAGTCATGGTGCTGCTCATGTGGGTAATAAATGTGACATATCCTAATCCCACGCCTCCTCTCTCTCTCCCCCTAATAATTCCTTCAACAGTGTTTCTATAATGAAACACTTACAAAAAAATCAGTCCACGCTGGTAGAGCACACAGTGTTAAGCCTGTCTGATGCAGCGTTTCTAGAGTGCTGGCTGTGCGGGATGTCCCGCGCTCTGCTCTCTCTGAGCTTCCTGTTAGACTTCTGCCTGATAGACCCGGCTGATCGCTATCGCCGTGGCAACCTCCCATAATGATTTGCTATGACTTCCTGTTTCCAGAGCGCATCCTGTGAAGAGGATGAAACTGAATGACGTCCCAATGAGCCCTTCCTCTGATAACAGGCAGTTGTACTTCAAAAAATACATACAATAATATGTGGGCTTTAAATGAGAGATGTGTAATGTTTAATAATCATTTAAATGTATGTATACAGAATTTATATGTTCAGATTATGAGATTACATGCTAGCACAGACTAAAGCTAAATCCATCACTAGAAGTGTTTTTTTACTGGCCTATCACACACTTACACACCCAAACACAGATTCACAAATAAAGACCGACACACTCTCTGCACAAAAGCGAAGGAGCTCGGTAAATATCTATGCTTTAATAGGGAATGCAGCACACTTGTCTACATGTCAACACAGCACTATACAGTTCAACAGAACTATTCATCACTCTGCTTTAGTTTCAGTAGACTTTCAGCATTACCAAATCCAGTCTGTGGCAGTCTTTCCATTTCCATAACTCACTCCTAGTTCACTAGTTCTGGGTGAACTAGTGGGATAGTTCACCCAAAAATTCTGTCAATAATTACTAACCCTCATGTCGTTCCAAACCCATAAGACCTTCGTTCATCTTCGGAACACAAATTAAAGGAGACATACTATGCCCCTTTTTACAATATGTAATATACGTTTCTGGTGTCCCCAGAATGTGTCTGTGAAGTTTCAGCACAAAATACTCCACAGATCATTTATTATATCATTTTGAAAATGCCTATTTTGAGTGGAAGCAGAGACAAGCTGTTTTTTGGGCCTGTGTATTTAAACGCAGATGAGGTGCTGCTCCCCGCCCCCTTTTCTAAAATAGAGCTGTGCCATTACAGCTCGTATCTGCTAAAACACATCTGTTTTGGTTTTGATTATCCTGTTTATCACGCTGAAATCATGCGTTTTAAACCAGATTAGTTTAAACTTCTTATATACGGTTTTCTGAGTGCACACATCCGAAGCACACGGAGAGAAAGCGGCTGTCACAGCATGTGAGTACTAAACTAAGTTCTCATTCACACACAAGTTTACGTCAAAAACACACGAGTTACAAAAAAACAGTCAGTTATGTCTGTGAAGGTAAACAACTGGGAAATAAATCACTTGTTTATTTTAGTTCAGGGTTCCTCAAATCTTGCCCTGGAGGGCCAATGCGCTGCAGAGTTTAGCTCCAACCCTGATCAAACTCACCTACCTGTGATTTACTAATGATCCTGAAGACATTGATTAGCATGCTCAGGTGTGTTTGATTAGGGTTAGAGCTAAACTCTGCAGGAAAGTGGATCCCGTGGGCCAAATTTGAGGATCCCTGTTTTAGATCTGTGTGGCAGCAGCAATATACAGTAAATAAATCAATAAATCCACTGCTCTGTTGTCTCCTCTGAGGCTGGGACTCTAAATAGTGTTCTGTGCTCGTCTGTGCAGCCAAAGGCCGAACCATTAGCATGTTTTGCTCAAACTTTCGCCATGGCATTAGAACTGGTACACCGTTGTCGCTTGCAAAATCAAAATGACGGCACTGTGGGTGGAAACTTACAGATTAAGGGGCAGTAATATTATAATAAGATCCCTTTGCCACGTCACCAAGGGAGCGAAATCTGAAGCGCTCGTTTTCTCAGACGCTTGCAGAAAAAGGCTTCCCAAAACAAAGTTACTGGGTTAATCTTTTTCACGTTTCCTTGGTTGGTAGGGACCTGATTATTGCACTTAAAACCAACAATGGAACTAACACATTCAAGGCCCAGAAAGGTAGCAAGGACATCGTTAAAATAGTCCATGTGACATCAGGGATTCAACCTTAATTTTATGAAGCTACGAGAATACTATTTGTGCGCAAAGAAAACTAAAATAATCACTTTATTCAACAATTTCTTCTCTTCCGTGTCAGTCTTCACCACACATTCATGAGAGTACCATGACGCATACGTGTGATGCTGCTGTAGCAGGAGCCAGCATTCTGACGTAGAACCTGGATGCACTGAGCCTTGTTTACAAGCAGAGGAATTCACACCCATGCGTCGTGATACTGTCGTGAATGCGCGTCGAAGACTGATATGGAAGAGAAGAAATTGTTGAATAAAGTCGTTTTTTTATTTTTTTTATTTGCGCATAAATAGTATTCTCGTAGCTTCATAAAATTAAGGTTGAATCACTGATTTCACATGGACTATTTTAACGATGTCCTTACTACCTTTCTGGGGCTTGAACGTGTCAGTTCCGTTGCTGTCTATGCAGGGTCAGAAAGCTCTCGGATTTCATCAAAAATATCTTAATTTGTGTTCCGAAGATGATCGAAGGTCTTATGGATTTGGAACGAATTTTTATTTTTGGGTGAACTATCCCTTTAAAGATATAGATGTGAACACAATACCAAGACCTTCTATTAACAACAAATAGTTATTCTTTGTCAGTGTGATAAAGGAGATGGAAAAACTGGATTTTTTCCTCTTCTTTTGCCTCTGAAACATAAATATCAGAGACATGTATGTATTTTAGACATTTAGTGATATGCTGTATCCGAAAACACTCACTAATTCACTCATTCACTACTAGTTTTTGAAAGCATGTGACATAGTTTGCTATACGGGTACGAGTGAGCAAAAATTTGTGAATTACTATAAACAGTACGGCACATTGTGTTTGAGGTTGCATAAGTGTTGCGTTCCAAATTAAAAGCTTTTGAATTCCAGAGTGACATTTCTGACTGAAGCATTTCCAAATATCAATAATTGGATTAGCATATTTTGAAATTTCCTACATTTCTTTGCTGTTCAGACTCCAAACAACGGATTTAAGTAAACGGATTTGAGTCAGATCCACAAAATCTGATTTTCTGCCTGTCTGAACAAAATCATGTAATTAAGTTCATTCCACATGTTTATAAATGCTAATGCATCCTGTCTCTTTAAGACTGTTATCTACAGTTGCACTCCCTGTGCACTGCTGGGCTTTTTTTCTCTGTATGCATGTGGAACAAAGCAGAAACACCTCGGCAATGCTTTAGCAACATTTGAATTGCATATGAGGCACTAATAGACTCTGGGGAGACTGTCGAATCCGTTGACTTCCAAACAGCTCATTTAGGTCCAAAGCCATTTCCTCTGCACACTGACGAAGGCTTTTATGCCCTCTACACAACACGGGCCCGGGAGCGACGCCACACCTGTTCACACACCAGCTAAACCAAATACGTGACAAGCAAGCAAACGTTCACACGCTTGCATTTGTGTACCAATGGTAAAAAATGCTTGGTGCGTTTTTGAGGAAACCAAATCTGTTGGGGTATTTTAGATGGCCTCGCCTCCCTCACAATGGCTTTCTCAATGGTTTTACCAAATCTGCCCCACGTTAAGCAAGACAGCAACCCACACGCAGTATGAGGGGGCTGACCTTTCCCAGTAGTTGCTAATCCGGAGTGTATTAAAAGCAGCTTTTGTCTGTTATGAAAGGCAGGAGCAGTGTTTCCTCCACCCCCTCATTTCCACTCTGTTTGCTTCTCTTTTATGTTCTCCTCTTCTTCTTTTGGTTGCGTACACCCCTCTAACTCCTCTTTGCGTCTCCATCCTTCTCTTCTTTCCCTGTGGCCGTCTAATCCTCTGAATTCTGCCCTTAAGAACGTGGTAGATTTAGGTGTTGCTTGAATGCGAGGTGTCGCCAGCTGCCAGAGCTTCAGCCTTAGCCCTCGTACCCTCACACACAATAAGAGTGCTAATCCTAAGGAACACACTTGTGCACTCGCAGACATGCACTACACAATGGGCCTTGCACACTTAAGTGGCTCCATGGGTCATGCAAGGAGGTGCTTCAGTTCCTAAAGACAGTCTTACCCATTTTGACAGGGTTCTGGGTAAAACTGGTGGCCCCGAACCAGTTAGAGGCAGGTGAAATATCCTAACTAGGTTCTCAAAAGAGATTTCGAGTGGATTTTTTTTAGAATTAGAATTAGAATAGAGTGTTAGAGTTGCTAGAGGGTCAAATGAAGATGGAAGAGATGTGTTTTAGCCGATTCTTGGAGATGGTTAAGGACTCAGCTGCTCAGATTGAGTTAGGCAGGTCATTCCACCAGGAGGGAACAGTTGATGTAAAAACCTGTGAAAGTGATTTTGTACCTCTTTGGGATGGCACTATAATGCGTCGTTCACTTGCAGAACGCAAGCTCCTAGAGGGCACATAAGTCTGAAGTAGTGAATTTAGATAAAGGGGTGCAGTCCCAGTGGTGGTTTTGTAGGCAAACATCAATGCCTTGAATTTTATGTGAGCAGCTATTGGTAGCCAGTGCAAATTGATGAACAGAGGTGTGACGTGTTCTTTTCGGCTCGTTAAAGACTAATCTTGTAGCTGCATTCTGGATTAGTTGTAGAGGTTTGATAGAATTGGCTGGAAGTTGTAGTCTGAGAAATTCAGCTGATCATCAATCTCAACTCCAAGGTTTCTGTCTGTCTTTGAAGGAGTTGATGCACCTAGCTGGATGGTGAAATTGTGAATATTTTAAATTGTA